ACAGATGACTCATAGCGACCCTATGAACAAAAGACCTGAACACTTGTATAACTTCCATCATTTCTCCAAGTTCATAGAGTTTCTGGAAAGAGTTTGAGGCCACCAGTTGCTCTGCAGGAGAAGGAAGGGCAATCTCCTCCCATGTGATTAACTGCCTCTGAAAACCAGTCAGAGGGTCAGCTATGGGTCAGTTCCAAATCAATGGTAGACAACAACAACAATAAATTATATACATAGTTGTGCTATTATCAATTGTCCTCAAGTTAATTATGACTCATGGCAAACCATGTAAACAGAGACCTGGTCCACAGAATCTTCAAGGGTATGGCCTTTCAGAAGCAGAGCTCAAACACTTTTGGAAGAAATCAAGATGTTAAGGACCTGAACACAAGATTTCAAAGGGCAACATGGGAAGACAAAGCAAACTATTATAATGAAGTACTAAGCTAAAGGAATTGAACAAATTCAAGCCTTGAGTTGTATTACTTAAAGATGCTGTGGACATAATATTGCATGACCTCAAAAGAAGATGGAAGGGGGAGAAAAAGAAGATGGAAGGGCTGGCAATAAGAGAGATGCAAACCAAAACCACAATGAGATACCATCTCACTCCAGCAGCAGCAGCAAAGTTTAGTATGGCAACAAGCAATAAATATTGGAGAGGATATGTGGAAGTGAAAACTCTCATACACTGCTGGTGGGATTGTAAAATGGTGCAACCTCTCTGGAAGACAGTTCGGCATTTCCTCAAAAAAGTTGAACATAGAAACTCTATATAACCCAGCTATTCCACTAACAGGAATATACTCCAAAGAAATGAAAACTGAGACACAAATGGAGATTGGTATACCAATGTTCATAGCTGCATTATTCACCATCGCTAGAATATGGAAACAGCCCAAATGCCCAGCCACTGAATGAATTGAGAAATTGTGCTACATTCACACAATGGAATAGTATGCAGCACGCAGGAGAAATTATTTGGAAAAATACTACATAACTTGAAAGAGGCTAGAGAACAGCATTATGCTGAATAAACTAACACAGTCTCCTAAGGACAAAAACTGCATGAGATCATTACTGTAAATATAGAAGGATAACTAGTAAAATATGTACAGGAACTCAAGAGGGGTGGAAGGAGGCATCAAGAGGTGAGACTAGGTAGGGGTGAAACCACAGGGCTGCACAGTTTGGTGGGTGGAGGGGGGAAGGGAAGCAAATGGGAAGTATCTAGGCAATAAGAAAGGGTAATAATGGGCAAGGTCCAATGATGATTGATTTTATAAAATATAATGTGTGAGATCATTACAAAGCCTGAAGAAGAAGAAAAGACAAAGGTGGATGTCAGATGAGACTCTGAGTATTGCATTAGGGTGCTGAGAAGCCAAAGCTAAAGGAAGAAACCAAGAAATCAAAGAGCTGAACAGAAAATTTCAAAGAGCAGCTCTGGATGACAAAGTAAGATACTATAATGAAAAGTGCCGAGAGCTGGAGTCAGAAAATCAAAAGGGCCGAACTCGCTCAGCGTTTCTTAAGCTGAAGGAGTTGTAAAACAAATTCAAACCAAAGGTGGCAAATACTTAAGGATGTGTTGGGTAGAATGTTAAATAATCCAGAAAGTGTCAAAAGAAGATGGAAGGAGTACACAGAGTCACTGTATCAAAAGGAATTGGCTGACACAGAAGTATGTCATGAAATAATATATGAGCAATAATAATAATAATAATATATGAGAAAGTTCAAGTTGCTCTGAAGGAATTGGCAAAAAACAAGGCTCCAGGAGTTAACAGCATACCAATTGATTTATTTCAACAAATAGACTCTGCCCTGGATGTGCTCACTAAGTTGTGCCAAGAAATCTGGAGGACAGCCAGCTGGCCAACTGATTGGAAAGGATCGATATTTGTTCCCATTCCAAAGAAAGGTGACCCAACAGAGTGCGGAAATTGTCGAACAATATCATTAATATTATATGCAAGCAAGATTCTGCTGTAAATTATCCAAAAACGTCTGGAACAGTATGTCAACAGAGAACTGCCAGATATGCAGGCTGGATTTAGAAGGGGTCATGGTACTAGGGATATTAAAGCTAATGTTAGATGGAACTTGTCAGAAAGCAGAGAATACCAGAAGAATGTGTATCTGTGCTTCACTGACTATGCAAAAGCTTTTAACTTTGTGGATCACAACAAGCTATGGCTGACTCTGAAAAGAATGGGAATCCCAGAACATTTTATTGCGCTAATGTGAAACCTATTCTTGGACCAAGAGGCAGTCATCAGAACAGAGCAGGGAGACATTACATGTTTCAAAATCAAGAAGCGGGTCGGTCAGGGATGTATTTTGTCTCCATACCTTTTCAATCTATATGCAGAAAAGATCTCCGAGACACTGGGCTGTACAAGGAGGAATGTGGCATCAGGATTGGTGGAAGAATCATCAACAGTCTGCATTATGTGGATGACACAACCCTGCTTGCTGAAACTGAGGAGGACATGAGATGTTTGCTGCAGAAGTTCAAGGACTGCAGTCTTCAGTGTGGATTAAAGTTCAACATCAAGAAAACAAAGATTCTCACCACTGGGCCAAGAGATTGAGATAGTTAACAGTTTTAGTTCACTTGGTTCCACAGTCAACAATCTTGGTAACAGCACCCAGGAAATCAAGAGATGAATTGCATTGGGAAAGTCAGCTGTCAGGGACCTCTCAAGAGTACTGAAGAGCAATGACATCAGGCTGGACACTAAGGTGTACCTGATCCAGGCTATGGTCTTCACAATTATGTGCTATGCCTCAGAGAGTTGGACAGTGACTAGGGATGATAGAAAGAGAATTGATGCCTTTGAGCTGTGGTGCTGGAAAAAAGTGTTGAATATACCATGGACTGCTAGGAGAACCAACAGGGTTGTCCTGGAGAGGGTTAAGTCGGAATGCTCCTTGGAGTCAAGGATTCTGAAGCTTCGTCTGACATATTTTGGGCATGTTGCAAGGAGGGACTGGTCCTTGGAGAGGGACATCATGTTTGGGAGAGTGAAGAGATGGTGCAGGAGAGGAAGACCCTCTATGAGATGGATCGCTTCTGATTGGAGTGGTGGGAATGTGTGTGTCTGAGATGGCAAGGTTGGCACAGGATAGAACGGCATTTAGGGCTCTTGTACATGGAGTCACTATGAATCGCAAGAGACTCGATGGCACATAACAACAATGTGTGAGAATTGTTATATGAAACACAATGTAAATGAAGAATAGTGTGAAATAAAATGTATATAAATTTTGTAAGCAAATCAATTAAAAAATACTGGGGAGGAATGGAAGGAGTACAGAGTCACTATTAAAAAAAAAAAACTGGCCTACACAGAAGAATTTCATGAAACAACATATGAGCAAGAGTCTATGGTGATGATGGAGGAATTTCAAGCTACTATGAAGGAATTGGCAAAAAATAAGGTCCCAGGTATTCACAGCATACCAAGTGATATATTTCAACAAACAGATGCTTGCCCTGGACATGCTCACCAGGCTGTGCCAAGAAATCTGGAGGACAATCACCTGGGTAACTGACTGGAAGAGATCCGTATTTATTCCCATTCCCCCAGAAAAAAAAAAAAAAAAGGTGACCCAACAAAGTGTAGAAATTATCGAACAATATCATTAAAATTGCATGCAAGCAAGATCCTGAAAGTAATCCAAAAAAAATTGGAACACCACATCAACAGAGATTTGCTAGATGTACAGGTTGGGTTTAGAAGGGATCATGGCATGAGGGACATCATAATCAACATTTGATGGATATTGGCTGAAAGTACACCATACCAGAGGAATGTCTATCTGTGTTTCATTGACTATACAAAGGCATTTGACTATGTGGATCACAACCAAGTGTGGCTAACCCAATGAAATTGGTTCTAGATAGAGCAGGGTTCAGAGCTGTAGTTAATAGGGTTGGACAACGAGAGGGCACATAACAACAACAATAGCTGACTTGACCCTTCAGCAGATTTTGGGAAGCTGTAAATTGCAAGGGAGGAGATTGCCCATCTTTCTCCTGCAGAGCCGCAGAACCACTGTAGGTTTTGCCAGAGTTGTGGCCTTTTAGCTCGCAGCACAACTCTCTAGGGCCTAGGGCACCAGAGGTGGGCTCTATTAGGATATTCTCTCATATATTTGTACCACAATTATTAACATACGAACTATTACATATTTTAGGATTTTCTAAAACAAAGATTCTCACCACTGGGCTGATTGGCAGCATCATGTGAGATTGTTGACAGCTTCCGTTTTCTTGGCCTCTACAAGCAACACTCTTGGTACCAACAGCCAGGAAATTAAAAGACGAATTGCACTGGGAAAGTCTGCTGTCAAGAGACCTCTCTAACGTACTTGAGGAGCAATGATGTCAGTCTGGAGACTAAGGTGCGCCTAATACGGGCCATGGTTTTTGCCATTACTTGCTATGCTTCAGAGAGCTGGACAACGACTAGGGGTGATAGGAGAGTTGATGCCTTTGAGCTTTGGTGCTGGAGAAGAGTATTGAATATACTTCTAGGAGAACAAACAAGTTCATCCTGGAAAGGGTGATCAGTAGATGATTTCTTCATGGAAGCCAGGCTGGTCATTGGAGGCAAGGATTCTGAAGCTTCGTCTGATCTACTTTGGACATGTACCAACAATATGCTTTATTATCTCATTGCCGTCGAGTTGGAAACGACAGTAGCTGACCCACCTCTAGATTTTCGGAGACTGAAATTCACACTGAAGGACATTGTTGTTGTTGTTGTTGGTACGAAAATAACCAAGCCCACTACCCTATAGCTAACTCCAACTCATAAAGGACCCAAAAGTTTTCTGCTCTCTGGGCTAACTCGCCCCTAAATCCTATCCACGCAAGGTTATTTACATATAGATTGTTATTTGCTACCAGCAAGCATTAGCTCTTCTCATTGGTTGACACCAAAGTTCACAGCTACTTGCATTTCCGTTTCCTGTTCGGCTGCAAAGCCATGGAGTCTCCAGCGTTGCTTAGGATTCTGCTGAATTTAGGCAAGTGGCGTCTCAGACGGCGTGGACTCACCCAGTCCCGGGTGAGTACTCGCATCCCCTGCTCTGGTTGAGTGCCTGGGCCCCAGATCTGCCCCGAGGAGGAGCATTCCCTCATTAGAAGTACGCTCCTTCCCTTCTCAACCTTCCGCTTGCTTTCTCGACCTGCAGACACTTGCTGCTCTTGTGCCCGGCGTGACCCAGGTAGATAACAAATCTGATTTTCTGGGGAAGAAACCTCATCGCCAGCACCCTGGCATTCTGCACCTACCGCACGTGCGACTGCCCCAGGCACTGGCTAATACAGCGCAGTTTCTGCTGCAGGGTAAGTAACGGGAAACGGAGTTCCAAGGAAAACCGAGCAAGACCTAAAGCAAGTGATTCCACTTTTTTTCTTCTGTGACCAACAGAGAATTCAGTGCCCTATGTGGAGAAGCAGGTGCAAGCACTGACCAATTACCTGTGGAGCCGACACTTACCTGTAGAACCAGAGGATTTGCAAAGACGAGCTGTGCATCTTGAGGAAAAAATTCTGGAAAACGCAGGTAGGGCTTAAAGAATGGTTAGAGTAGAAACAGTATTTGGAAGTGAAGAGCAAAAAATAATTTATTATCTCAAATAGATAATGCAGCTTCTTATTTGATTCCTGACCATTTTGGATAATATCTGTACCAGTCAAAATCTTTCTGGTATATCCACTAGATTAAAGTTTTTATTCAAATGAAATAAACAATTTTGTGGCCCTGTGATCGAGTCTTGAAGCACATTCCAGTAATAAGAGAAAAACTGTAATTCAAGTTCTTTCCAAAATTATGAGTTCCTTTGCATTACAGTTCTGCCTTTTATTCCCTTCAGGTCCCACACTACCTTACTTAGAATAAGCACTCAGTAGATGATTTGTTTTCTTTTTTTAATTGTGATTTTAAATAAAGTTTATAGAGAACATGGATTTCCATTCATTCATTGTTGCACATTTTCCTCCCTGCTCACCGCTCCCCCCCAGTTTGCTTTTCTCTTTGAAAAAAAAAAAAGAAAAACTCTTTCGTTGTTATATAACTCCCCCCACTCCAGTCCACTTTGTCAGTAGATGATATCTTCATGGAATAGAAGATAACTAGGCCAACTTATAGCTCCTTTGCTCCACATAGGGACATTCAGGATTTAAAAAGCCTCAATTTCAGGGAAGCAAAGACATTTACAAATCACTACATGTATCCTATTTCTTAAATCTTTATCCACTTGCCCTCAGTATAGAACAGAACCTGTGAGATGAGGTTAATTAATTGCTAAACTGTAAAAAAATAATAAAAAAACTTCTAAAAACAAGTTATCAAAAAATAACTGGAACAGCACATCAACAGAGATCTGCCAGATGTGCAGACTGGGTTTAGAAGAGGCTGTGACATTAGGGATATTATAGCTAATGTTAGATGGATCTTGGCTGAAAGCAGCGAGTACCAGAGGAAAGTCTGTCTGTATTTCATTGACTATGCAAAGGCATTTAACTGTGTGGATCACAACAAACCATGGCTAACTCTTAGAAGAATGGGAATACCAGAATACTTAATTGTGCTTATGCAAAACCTATACTTGGACCAGGAGACAGTCATCAGAAAAGAGCAAGGACACACTGCATGGTTCAAAATCAGGAAGAGTGTGTGCTAGGAATGCATCGTATCTCCATACCTTTTCAATCCATGTGTGGAACAGATCATCTGGGAGTCTGAGCTCTATGAGGAGGAATGTAGCATCAGGATTAGAAGAAGACTCATCAACAGCTTGCTTTATGTAGAAGACGCAACCTTGCTTGCTGAAACTGAGGTGGACCTGAGACATTTGCTGCAGAGGGTAAAAGACAGCAGCCTTCAATATGGATTGAAGCTCAACATCAAGAAAACAATGATTCTCAACAATTGAGATTGTTAACAGCTTAATTTTGCTTTGGCTTCACAATAACACTGTTGGTACCAGAAGCCAGGAAATCAAAAGAAAATTGCAATGAGAAAGACAACATCAAGGACATCTCCAGAATACTGAAGAGCAATGATGTCAGTCTAGAAACTAAGGTGCACCTGATCTACACCATAGTCTTCATGATAACTTGCTGTTCGTCAGAAAGCTGGACAGTGACTAGGGTTGATAGAAGCAAAATTGATGCCTTTGAGCTGTGGTGCTAGAGATGAATATTTACTATATCATGTTCTAGGAGAACAAACAGGTTCACCCTAGAGAGAATGAAATCAGGCTGCTCTTTGGAGGCAGGGATTCTGAAGCTCCATCTGTCATAATTTGGGCATGTTGCAAGGAGGGACCAGTCCTTGGAGAGAAACATCATGCTTGGAAGGGTGGAGGGACAGTGCAAGAGAGGAAGACCCTAGATAAGATGGATTGACTCAGTGACTAGGGTAGTAGAGATAGGTCTGTTAGAAACAGTAAGGTTAACACAAGATAGAGCAGGATACAGAGCGGTTGTATATAGGATCACTGTGAGTTGCAGGTGACTTGTCAGCACTTAACGACAACACAGTGTGTTAGAAAAGTGATAACAGTTATTACCTAAATATTTTCTTTAGATTTGGCTTCTCTTGATCCTTTGGGATGGATGGAGGTAGCTGTGGGCAGGCAGTATATTAAAATATTGGATTCAAATATTGGAGCCTTGTTCTCCCTAGGTCCTCACCTCCAGTCTTTGTTCTCACCCCAGATTCAACGCAGACAGAGGAGAAACTTCGTGGAACAGTGCTGAGTATCTTGCGCAGAGTTACTTACCACTGGCAAGAACTGAGGTAAGGGGCGCTAGAATGGCTCCAGAAGAAAGAAAAGCTTGACTTTAGAAGAAGATGTAGAGAAACATGATTACAAAATTGAGTGTTTGAAAAAAGTTGCCTGGATTGATTGTAAGGTTCACCAAGACCCATTTGTGTCTGGGAGTAAATGGCCTGAATTGAAAGCGACCTTCCATAGATTTCATCTTCTAAATATCAAGAGAGTAGCTATAGATTAGAAATTACTATTTTTTTTTTCTGGCAGCTACAATGAGGGCCTGAGTTTGCTGTATATGGCAGCAAGACTGGATGGTGGCTTTGCAGCAGTCTCCAGAGCATTCCATGAGGTAAAAGTTCTACTTCAACTGGAACCTTTTCACTGTTAGTTTATTCATAGAATAGAATTCTGAAATAAAAATTCTTGAGACTTTGCATATGCTTTTTTAAAAAGGAAAAAGAAGATCCCTCTATCCTTTGAAAGTTTCAAGAGCCTTTCTGTTATTCGTGAAAGGTTCAGAGCCACTATTTTTAGTAGCTTCTTGATCTACAATAAATTTCTGTTGACTCTCTTACCTCTTCTCTCATAACCCTCTCTGATTTATATCTCCCAAGGCCATTAGTAATTCTACCCTTACCTTTGTGGGGTGTTGCATATTTTTTCAGATCCGGGCTCGCATTCCAGAGTTTCAGCCACAAACCTTGTTGGACTTTGGCTCGGGTACTGGCTCTGTCACCTGGTGAGTAGCCTTCAGCTCTTTATTGGTTTTAGGTCTGGAGAACAAGATTTACACCACCCCAAAATCAAGAGACTGGAAACCTGAAAGAAAAAAAGTAGGAAAGTTGGTCATTAGAAAGTTTCTTCTTTTAGGTTAAGTATTGCCAAAGAAGATACATGAGTGTAGTAGCTAGAATTTAAAAACAAGTGGAAAAGGTCCATGTTTTGAAATTTTTTTTAAGAAAAAGGAAAGTGATGTATAGGTTTTACATATCAATGAAAAAAACCTGTGCCTACAAAGCAGGTTGTTTTTCCAACTAATCTCTTGTAAGGATGACTCTTTAACATAAGAATTGGTGGTTTGTATCTTGCTATCTTAGGGCTGCTCATAATACTTGGGGCCAGAGTCTGCGTGAATATGTGTGTGTGGACAGCTCAGCTGCCATGTTGAATTTGGCAGAAAAGCTACTGAAAGGTAAGGAAAAAGTACAAGAAAGGATATTTTCTTGCAGAATAGAGGAGAGGACAAAATTGAATCTGCTCTCCCTCCAGGTTGGTGGAGGTTTTTGTGTATGTGGATTGGTTGGGTAAAATCAACAGTATAGGAAACCCATGATACACCCTTCCCTTTAAAAAAAAATTACTTTGGTTTTGAGTTGTTATTTTTATCTATGTTTGTTTGGGTTTGCAAATCAAATTGCTTTTTCATACAGTCATTCATGGGCTTTCCCTGTCCTTCTGAGTCTCACCACTTATAGTTTATTGTATCTCACTCTCAAAAAAAGTTTTCTTTCTGCTCAGGATGGTGGTTTCTTAATTGGATACTCAAAAGCCCCAGGTCCCAATCTGTTGTTCATAAGGTCACTGTGAATCAGTCGAACCAGTGACAACCATGGTTAGTAACTTCTCTACACTTACATCTGTCATATCCTTTCCCTCACAGGTGGTTCTGAATCTGGGGAGCTTTATGTTCCAGGTGTCTTTTTCAGACAATTTCTGCCTGTCTCCCCCAAGGTAAGTGTTAGGGTTTGGAGTATCCTACATCCAGACTGTGACAGATGGAGAACTAGGGCCTTAGCTTTCCAACTTAGCATTGAGTGTTATAAAAATAAAATAGAGGTTTGCGCGATAAGACTTTGTGCTCATGGAATGGGGAGATGCCTGGGTCTGTCACGTTTCTTGGCTTGTTCTTCAGGTACAGTTTGATCTGGTGGTGTCAGCCTTTTCACTAAGTGAGCTCCCCAGCAAGGCTGACCGCAGTGAAGTGATTCAAACTTTGTGGCGCAAGACAAGTAATTTTCTGGTAAGTTAATCCTTTTTGCTAAAGCAGCTCCATAAGTTTCATGCTTTTTGTTTTTCCCAGGGAGTTTATCTCCATTCTTGACTCTTTCTTGGGACTTCAGCTACATTTTATATATAGTGCCTTATCCTATAAATTGGTTTTATGCTGGATGATGGCTTCTAGTGTCTTGATGAGGGTCATGTATAGAATGTTTTGTTTGGGTTTTTGTTTTGGGGGGGTTGTGGGGGTTTTTTGCTTTATTTTCATGTACAAGTGGGTGTCAGCAGATTAGACTTGCCAAATGGACTGGAGATCTCTGACTGGAGGTCCACCAGCATTTGGGTATGCCTGAATTTACAAATGTGGTAGGGCCCACCAGTCTGCTGCCCTCGGGCCAAAAGTTAATTGATTTTGAGTCAAGCATTCTTTTAAGTGGTATAGCAGTGGTCTATTTGCTGTACTGAAGTAACTTGGAGTTGCTGTGATGATGAACATCTGTGCCATAGGGTGTCAAAACACCAGAATGGCTACCCATCGTGGGCAGTGTATGATGGAGCTCCCAGATTGATTTAAGTTTGGAAACAGGAGTGGCATCTACTTCCTAAACTACATGCTTCTGGAAACTCAGTGAACCTGGAGAAATGATGATAGTTATAGAAAGGCTTCAGGCCTTTTGTTCATAGGGTCACTGTGAGTTATGCTTGACTCGACAGCATTCAGTGACAACAACAAGAGTCTCTTTCAGGAGGTCTTGCATGCTAGTGGTAAACTGCACCGAAGTCCCAAAATCTACCAGCTTCTCTGTGGGAGGATGGCCAGTTTCCTCCCATGTAGTTAACTGCCTCTGAAAACCTAATGGAGGGTCAGCTGTAAGTCAGTTCCAACTGAATGGCACACAGCAACAACAGTCCCTTTTAGGGCACATGTTACGTCTGTGATATAAGCTGCTGGCATGAATGAAATTTAGGGCCTCTACTTACTTTTCCCCTTTTGTGAACAGATACTGATTGAGAATGGAACAAAAGCTGGACACCGCCTTCTAATGGATGCAAGAGACTTGGTCCTTAAGGTAAGATTCCTTCTCCTTTATCCTTAAACTTCAAATCCTCAAAAAGTCAGGTGCTGTTTATTGGCACTCCCTTGAAAACTGAAGAACCTTTGTCATGTGTTGGTAAGACTGACTTAGGAAATGTGACATCATTTTAATGTAGGCAGGGGTTGATGACTAAGGGCCTGAATGTTAAATCTGGCCTGCCACCTGTTTTTATATGAGCCATGCTCATGCTATTATCTATAGCTACTTTTACAGAATAAACAGCAGAGTTGAGTGATTGGGACAGAGGTATATTTTACTGTTTAGTCCATAAAGCTGAAAATACTGTCTGTCTCTTTGGGGCAGGGAGAGGAAGGATTACCAGCTACTTATCTACAGCATGGTTAGGCCAAGAACCTGTTTCTGTGGAAGCGTATGGCCAGTGCATAATCATAAATTCAGATGTGTCTAAGAGGGATTGATTGGAGGAGGAGGTTGTTGACAAGAGAGAGCACCATACTGTGTGCCAAGTCCCTGCCTTTCTCCCAGGGAAAGAGAAAGTCCTTTGTCTAGAGAATTAGAAAAGCAGCCAGCTTACCCTGTAGTTGATAGTTACTCAAATTGAATGCTAAAGAAGTCCTCATTTAATTGAGTGCAGAAATTAAATTATCATAATAGGCCCCGGTGGCCCAGCTTTGTTTGTTCCTTTGATTTTAGGGAAAAGAGAAATCACCTCTGGACCCCCGGCCGGGGTTTGTCTTTGCACCAGTGAGTATTTTACCTGTCTCAGCATACAAAATTCTGAACTCAGGGAAAATAAAACTAAGCCACGCTAAAGGTTAATGTAAAATGAATAGATGATCAGACCTTGTGTGTATGGTAGTTAACAAGGAACAGGGTACTATGATTTATTTGAGGGAAAACAGAAAAGCTAAGGAAAGGTTTATATGCAGTTAGAAATAATCCTGGAGGATTGCCCAGGATGGGGTGTAGGGTGTGGGGGGAGGGAGCAGAGATTAGCAAATGGATGGGTAAGGTGAAGCGAAAGGCAAGGTATAGTAAGGATTTAATGAAATATGATAAATGGCATTGATCAGTTGTAATTCATTCATATTAAAAAACAAAATATGAATGTTTGAATGAAAACCATTCTTTTTTCTTTTTTTAATACACATTTTGAGGGGCAACACCACTAAGCCACTGTCCACTACTTAGTGACCTGTCCAGTTTCTTCTCAGTGCTCCTGCTTAGTCTTCCACCCTCTCCTTTTCATTCCCTTCTCTCTGGGCTCTATCTTTCTTGGTGTTTCAGTTTTATGTTCCATGGCTCTTGTTTTACCTGCTGTCTTTCTGTGTTTTTAGTGTCCCCATGAACTTCCTTGTCCCCAGTTGTCAGGCTCCAAGCTCCTGGCCTGCAGCTTCTCCCAAGCTTACCATCCCATCCCCTTCAGCTGGGTATGTATGCTGGGTATATTGGGGGAGGGAGAAACATACAGAGGCTGGGAAAGCAGGAAGAAGCAGCAACTGGGAGGAGTCAGGGCATAAACTAAAGGGGGAAACCTACAGGAATAGGGCTCAAGAATTTTTTATTCATATTCCTTTAATCTCTGTATTCTTGTTATAGAACAAGAAGCCAAAAGAAGAAAAGTTCTCTATGGTGATCCTTGCCCGGGGCTTTCCTGAGGAGGCTCATCGCTGGCCCCGGATCACTCAGCCTGTCCTTAAACGGCCACGTCATGTGCATTGTCACCTGTGCTGTCCAGATGGGCACATGCAACATGCTGTCGTCACCGCCAGCCGGCATGGCAGGTATGAGGAATGTGATTAAAATGAGTGGGAGGCTGCAATAACATAAAGCTCACATTGACATTTCTTTCCCATAGGGATTTATATCGCTGTGCCCGAGTCAGCTCCTGGGGAGATCTTCTGCCAGTAGTCACTCCCTCGGAACTTCCTCCATCCTCTGCTCAGAATCCTTCTGATGGCTGACAAGGATTTTGTTCTCTCTTGGCCTGCCAAGGGTGACGCTTCCTGGTATCCAGGATGGTAGTGCTGATGCTCACATATGACTTTTCTTGTTTGAGGTTTTAATAATAATAATAAAAATTTTTTTTAAAAATGTAGTCTGTGATCTTTGAGAAATATAAATAAATTGCCATGGAATTGGAGCCAACTCACAGCAGATCTTAGATCTACTTTCCAGAGGCTATAAAAATCACATGGGAAGAGGACTGCCTATTTGACTCCCTAGAAGTAGCTAATGGTTTTGAACCACCAACCTTGGGGCCCCTACCTATTAGGCCACCAGGGCTCCCATAGAGAGGAATGCTGTTGAGTCAGAACCAACTCATAGCAGACCCTCCAGTGGACTTTTTTATTTTTTTAACAGAAAATACATGTTTATTATAAAATAATGTCTGTTTCATGATCAGAGTAGAACAATAGCACTTCAATTCCTTGAAGGGTTGAGAAGCTTGATCTCTGAGGATCAGCGTAAAAGGCCTTTGCTTCACCTGGGAGCTCTTAAAGAACAGGCGATCGTGGCATGGACAGTGAGCAAGCAGGTGGAGAAAGAAGACAGGGTGAGCGCCTTGAGCAGCTGTTCTGAGCCACAGAATAGCAACCCATCATGGCTTCCAGGCAGAGCAGAGAGTTACGCAGCAGCAGCTAATAGGAGGCCATCATGGGAGACCGGAAGGTCAAGGCCACGCTAATGGCAAGTAGCATCTTACACTGGCATAGGTTCCATTTGAACCAAAAAAAATAGTCATCTCCCCAAGATAAAGGAGGAGCATCACCACATCCAGTACTTGGTTGGCTGTTGGATATTGCAGCAGGATACCTTTATTCAGGAATAAGAGCTCCAACAGGTCATAGGTAGCATACTACTACTTGTTCAGAAAGAACAGGGTTTCCAGGTCGTGGACGACAAACATTTACCTCGGGGATCTTAACCTCACAGAGCCATCCTCAGTTCCTGTGGAAATGGCATACGTGGCTACTCCCCACTGGGTTTTTAAGAGGCAGTGAGTCACGTGGAAGGAGATTGTCCATCTTTCTGCAAAACAGCTGGTGGATTCAAACTGTGTTTCTTTGAGTTGGCAGCACAGCTCTATGCAGTCAGCTCTCTTTGAGGGGTATGGGGTGGTATATTATCCTTGTCCATCCTTCAGTGAAAATTCTAAGATTTTTTAGTGTTAAGTCCCCACACAAATCTCAAGCTCATCCACTTCTGTAAGAATACTAACGCTTCTATCAGTGATCAGAACTTGTCAAGAAAGTCAGTCGGGGATAGTGGGGATGGCCACCCCACACTCTCTGAGAACTGGCTAAGCAGGTCTCCAGATTGAATAGGAGAGCTGCCTTCTGCATAGACCTTCATTCCCCCTACGCCCTTGATCTAATTCCCGTCCATCTTTCCCCTCAGCTATGCTGGAGTTTACCAATTATGTTTCCCTCAAGTGGATCCCAGTCAGGACTGAATCTTTAAACTCCACCCTTTTCTATCCAGGCAAGTTCTTTCGATTTTACTAAGTTAATTTTTGTTTCTCCTAAAGAACAACTTTCCCTGTCAAAACTCAGTACCTTTCAGTTCCTATCTGTCAAAAGTTGTGATAGTATCAATGTTGTAAATGCTAAAAATTCTCACTTCCCACTAAACATTGCCATGCCTGGAGTAACTTTCTTGGGGTTAAAGGAAAAAGAAATTCTTTCACCTAGTTCCCAGAGCAGTGGCAGTACCACCTCAGCTCCACCTCCTTATTACCCCCAGGTGGCCCCAAATCCTCTCTGAAAGACTGAGGTTCAAGTGTCAGCACAGCAACCTATAAAGTATGGGATGGGGTGGAGAAAGTATGGAAGGCTTAGATCAAATGTCTTGAATAAAGCAGGGCCAGTTTTTCCAAAAGACAAAACAGCAGAAAAGGAGCCATCGTCATTCTGAGGCTCCCGTTTTGAGTTGGAGAAGCCCCGGACATGAACTACCTGCAGCCCTTGGATTAGTCATAGCACTGAAGGGGAGGAGAAGGTTTACTGCACAGGGTTGTGCCTGGCAGGGAGTCTGGAGTTTCTGGTTTCGAAGTTCTGGAAGGTGTGAGGCAGGGGAGGGGCCTCCTCCACGTAAGGAAGGGCGGAAAATCAGGGCAGAGCCCTAGTCAGCTATGCAACGCTGCGCAAGCAGAGGCCACACCGGACAGAAAGGATATTAAGAGTCTCTCCTGAAACAGCTGAGTGAATGCTCCATCTTTGATCACCTAAGATACCATTCCTGCTCCAAAGATTGTAACTCTAATTTGTCATCTTGGGATCTCAGTATATCTTATATCCCAGGGATGGAGCCACTATTAGGAGTAAAAATTGGCTGTCTGTTAGCCCTGCTGGCTATCACCTTGGTCTGTGGCCTTATTCCCATCCGTTTCAAATGGTTCCAGATTCATGCAGCCACAGGTATATCTCCCTACCCTATCTTTGTCCCCTTAACCTAAGTCTGACTTGAACCCTCCCCAGATTTTCAAACCATCCCCAAGCTTGGACTTGAATATTGCCTGTTTCTCCTCAACCACCTTTGTCTCCTTATTGCCAAGTAAGCTGTAACTTCTTTATACTAGGTCATCACCGCCGCGTCCTCAGTCTCCTGGGCTGCACTTCTGCAGGCGTGTTTTTGGGAGCAGGGTTAATGCACATGACTGCTGAAGCCCTGGAAGAAATTGACTCTGAGATCCAGAGGTTCATGATACAGGTGAGCTGCAGAGATGCTCCATTCCAGAGCTACGATTAATAAAACCAAGAGAAAAAGGGGAGGAAGTGATGGAGCCAGGGACATGGGATGAACTAGAGGACACATGACAGCTCATGTGTGGAATGATGAAACATTCTGATGAAAAAGTCTGATTGGGCTGCTTGCTTTTTTTTTTTAAAGTGAAACTAGAGACAATTTTATTAGAAAAGAAAGATCCCAGAAAGTAAGATGGGTCATTTCTCTGAAAGAAAAATGAAGATCTGATTGAGCTTTTAAAGAAAACAATGGGCCTGAAGTGACAGGCCAGGAGGCTCCAAATCCATCTAATTTCTACTTTATTTCTCTAGAACAGGTCAGAAAATAAGGGGAATTTTTCAAATACTTCTGATCAAGCTCAGGTGAGTACTTCTCAACAACCATCCCTACCTGAAGAGTGACATGCACTAGACTCCCATCATGCCCAGCCCAAACCCTTTTGAGGGGAGTTTGTGAGGAATACCAGAAACCTCTTTTGTTTCCTGGCTCAGACGTAATAGAAGAGAGGAACCACTCCAGCTGTTTTAGTGTTATAAACCATTTTGCTTTATTCTTTGCTGAGTTTCTTTGACAGGCTTCCCATTGTTTCCTGTATTTCTTACCCTGTTGGTACTGTGTCCCTTCTTTTTGTTGAATGTCCTTATCTACCCCTGGATTCATTTTCCCACCTTTTTTAATGTCTTGTTACCATAGTTTGCCATTCTCTGCAATTTCCCAAAACCATGTCCATTCAATGCATTGTCTTCCCTTCCTTTCCCATCTCAAACCCTCTCTTGGTCCCTAGATGGAGTATCCCTATGGAGAGCTCATCATCTCCCTGGGCTTCTTCTTGGTCTTCTTTTTGGAGTCGCTGGTTCTGCAGTGCTGTCCTGGGGCTACTGGAGCATCAACAGTGGAGAAGGAGGAATGGCAGGGAGCTCATGCATTTGAACTCCACAGCCACGGACCTCTGCCCTCACCCTCACAGGGGCCCCTTCGAGCCCTTATCCTCTTGCTCTCTCTTTCCTTCCACTCAGTGTTTGAAGGTCTAGCTGTGGGGCTGCAGCCCACAGTGGCAGCTACCCTGCAGCTCTGTCTTGCTGTATTGGCTCACAAGGGGCTCGTAGTGTTTGGTGTTGGACTGCGGCTGGTACAGAGAGGCACTGGACCACGATGGGCCATTTTGTCCATTCTAGGTTTTGCTCTCATGTCTCCCCTGGGCGTAGCCCTAGGGCTTGCTGTGGCTGGAGGGGACCCTGAAGGAGGGCAGGGCTTAACCCAGGCAGTGTTAGAGGGAGTGGCAGCTGGTACTTTCTTATATGTCACCTTCCTAGAAATTCTGCCCCGAGAATTAGCTGCTCCTGAAGCCCCTCTGGCAAAGTGGGGTTGTTTAGCCACTGGTTTTGCCTTCATGGCCTTTATTGCTCTGTGGGCATGAGAAATTCTTGACTGTTCTGATGGACCTATCTGGGAGGGCCTGCCTACTTCCAGGAGATGTCTCCCAATGGTGTTAACCTCCAGCTAATTCTTCAGTGTGATTAAGTGGAATTCATTGGGCATTAGACCCATGGGCAGATTGTTAAGTGTTATCAAGTCTGCTCCACCTAGATTCTTGCTTTTTCATACACTTGAAGTCTCATTTCTTACCCAGAACTGAGAAAAGGATGTTTACATCGAAAAGACTGTATTTCAGAGGATTTGTTATAAAGTCTGTCACTCTGGATTTGTTGACTCCTGTCCTGTTTATGCTATTGTGATATTGTAATTACATCTTATCCTGTCCCTTCAGCCATACAGTATTCCAAAGCTCCCAGACACCTCACCAGCTGCCTGGTCCAGACTATGTAGGTTGGGTGGGGAGCAGTAACAGCCAGTTTTGGGATATAGTATTTTCTTCTGGAATCAGGATTCACAGCCATTCTACTTTTAGTTACAGGTCATTCTCTCTAATTATTGGTGCACTGCTGAAATTACACCCCCTCCCACTTTATCCACAGATGTGGAGAAATTAAGCTTAGATTTCCCAGCACTTAGAGTAAAAGTAACTTTAAAAAAAGAAGTAAAAGTAACTTTAAAAAAAGAAGAACCATGAGAGTTTCTATTTTTTTTTCTACTCTCACCATTTCTATCCTACTCTCAGTACCTATTGTTAACCTCCCACCACATGCTGAAGAGAATCTTGAGATCAGGCTTATTTCCATCTGGCTCCCATTTTTCCACACTGAGTCCTTTGTGCCTTTAGGGACATTATTGGTCTCTGAGCCTCTGTCTCCTTCCGGCTGCCTTGTGCTGGGGATTAAGAAACAGTGTGTTTGGAGAAGGAGAAAGATGCCAGATAAATGTCTAGGGTGATTAGTCAGTTCTGCCACGACTTTCTGTTTGCCCCACCTCCAACCCTGCCGTGATGTCTCTGGCCACTGCACCACTTGTCTTTCAATGTACGTAACCTTTCCAATTTGCTTATCTTAAAAACTAGTAAGGACAAATAAAAAAAACAGGAATTTCATATGTTAGAATCCTAGTAGAAGGCAGAAGATGACTGAAGCCCATCCCTAAGGTGGAAGAATATCTCAAACTTGATTGAGAAACTGGGGAAAGAGAAAGTGTAGCCTATAATCTTACGCACTCTCACCTGTTTGCATGCGCTAATATTTTGAGTGTGAAAACTCAACATTCCTTAGTATGAACAAGGTCTCCTGAGTTTGATTCTTGTCCCCGTCTACCTCTTCTGTCCATTCTGTTCTCCTTTCCCCACATAAGAAATAAAGATCTCCCCAAAAGCCCAGCTTTTGATCCACAGGGATCAGTGAGGTGATTTTTCAGACCAAAAAATTTTGTCTAAACAGAAAAATGGGAAATAATTCCCCTGAGCACAATTTATTCTATTTTCCCTTGTGACATGGTAACACGTAATATGCTCAGAACTGAACCTAGTATGTAGTAATAATAATTCCATAGCTGCTGTGTGTCAGACACTGTGCAATTGCTTTCACATACATTATCTCTTTTTCCCAACTCTGCCAGGTAGGTATTCTTCCCACACTAAGTCCAGGGAACTTGACATTCTGCAAAGTTGAATAATTTTACTATATAGCTGGCTTGGCTTCAAATCCACATTTCTCTGCTTTCTAACACAAATTAGTTGACAACATTCAATTTGGGTTACATCTCAATATTAAGAAAACAAAAATCCTCACAACTGGACCAACAAGCAACATCATGATACATGGAGAAAATCTTGAAGTTGTAAACTATTTCCTTTTACTTGGATTCACAATCAACACGCATGGTACAAGCAGTCAAAAAATTTAAAAAATGTGTTGTCTTAGGAATATCTGTCAAGAACCTCTCAAATGCCAAAGAAGGATGTCAGTTTAAAGTACACCTGATACAAGGAATAGTCTTTTCAATTTTTTCATATGCATCTGAAAGTTGAATAATGAATAAAGAAGACCACAGAATTGATGCCTTTGGATTATTGATACTGGTGAAGAGTACTGAATATCCCAGACTGCTGAAAGAACAAATCTGGTCTTGAAGGAGTTACAATATGAGTGTTCCTTAGAGGCAAAGATGGTGAAACAGCATCTCACATAACAACCTCATGCTGGAAAAGATCCCTGAAGGAGAGGAAGACCTTCAAGGTTATGGATTGACACAGTGACTGTATCAATGGGCTTACACGTGACAGAGATCATGAGGATGGTGCAGGATTGGACAAGGTTCAAATCTATCGTTCATAGTTCTGCTGTAGTCATCCCGACAGCACCTAAAAACAAGCCAAACTATCCTATCCTATCTATCTATATATTATTTACCTGTACTTTACCATCCTATCTTCCCATTCTATAGCAGATAATTAAAGCAAGTTTAAGAATGTTTAAGCAGGACTTGAAGAAAGCAACAAATATTTGTATAATGCTCCAAGACTGGATATTAACAAATCTATTCTCCTGGTTCTAGATAGAACCATCCAGTAAGAGTTGTGGCCTTTGGTAGAGGGATGTAACCAATCTGTAAGGGTCTGACAAGAACTCAAGAGAATAACTTTACTCTCCTACTCATGCGTCTACTGCAACATCTCTTATTGAGCAAATACAAGAAGAAGCCAGATAACAGAGGTGTTCTAGGGCACAGAGCAAAAGAGTTCAAGAGAGATGAATAGAAGCCATGGTCAATACTCTTCTCCTTTCTGTTTAAGAGCTCTTCCTGCGGGGACTTTGGGAGGGGTGAATTGGAAAAGATATAATTCTATGGGAGCTGAAGAGCTTAGTACAAAGAACTGTGTGACTGTGAGAAGGAAACTTGAGAAGTATATGAAGCTGTCAGGGCTCTTCACATGGCTGTGGCTCACTGATCCTGTGAGCATTACAATTAATGATGTGGATGGAAGTTGGGATATTTCAAGCATGGCTAAGTCATGCTTTTTTTTTTCCCCTCCAATCTTCTTGTTGTTGTTGTTATGTGCCATCGAGTCACTTGTGACTCATAGCGACCCTATGTACAACATCCCGAAACTGCTCTGTCCTACGCCAATCACACCGTCTCCAACACACCCATCCCGAATTACCCCAGTCACTGAATCAATCCACCTCATAGGGGGGCCTTCCCCTCCTGCACTGTCCCTCCACCCTACCAAGCATGATGTCCCTCTCCAACGACCTGTCCTCCAGTCTTCCTGTTGTTGTTGTTATGTGCCGTCGAGTCGTTTGCGACTCAAAGCCACCCTATGTACAACAGCCCTAAACCATGCTCTATCCTGTGCCAATCTCATTGCCTCTGACACACCCATCCCGATTACCACAGTCACTGAATCAATCCACCTCATAGAGGGTCTTCCCCTCCTGCGCTGTCCCTCTACTCTACCCAGCATGATGTCCCTCTCCAAAGACCTGTCTCTCCTTGCAACATGTCCAAAGTATTTCAGACGAAGCCCCAGAATCTTTGCCTTCAAGGAGTAGTAGGAGCCCTTAAATTCTCAGGGGCCTGCTTTTAGCCATAAATACTTTCCTTTTCAGTATCATTTCCTTGGGCATGCCTAAGATTCAGACCAACAAGCTCTAGTTTGGACCATATTGTATAAAAGGTTAGAACAGGCTAGAGAATTCTCCATGAAGATAATAAAGATGGAGAGAAACTGGGGATCAGGAAAATGACATAATCATCTGGTCATTTTCAGAAGAGATAAAAGAGCAGGGACTCAGAGAAGACTGTAAGGAGCAGAAAATGAATGGGACTGAAACAAGGCTTGAGTAAGAACAGGCACAAAAATCATCAGCCAAGCGAGTTGAGATAGCTCAATGTGATGATGATTAGAAGCCAACTCAGGAATGAGCCTGGACTTGGGAAAGATAGAGGCAGTAAATGAACTCACTGGGGAAAAACACTGTCAAGTTGGTTCTAACTTACAGTTGACACTCCATTAGTTTTCTGAGGCTGTAAGTCTCACACAAGGAGACTGCCATCTTTCTGCTGCAGAGCTGCTGGTGGATTTGAACTGCCAAAGCAGCACAGCCTTTGGGTCAGCAGTGCAACTTGCTGCTTGGAGAGTATGCCACCAGAGCACCATAGGTCGTAAAAATAGCAGCTTGAATGAGGAAAGTTGAAAAAGAAAACTAGGCCAGAGGTTGTGCCAAATGAGGAAAGGGCTAGGAAGGAAAGTGTGGTAAAATCACAAGAGTATTTATGTGGAACAATATTCAAGCCTCCTCAATTCCAAGCCCACTTCCTCCCGCCTCATTCTCCTCTCCCACATAAGCATTTCTTATTTACTTAAGGGGGAAAGGAAGACTGCAACTTTCAGTTGTCTGCCACCCCAGCACTAGCTTTCCCTTTGTACCACCAAGAAAATGTTCTCTCAAGTTAACCTTCAGGATCCCTCCACCTTTTCTTTGCTTATAAACTGCAGGTTTGCTTTGGAGACTGAAGTTGTAGGATGACAATCTGTGAAGAAAAGGGGTGGAGTTACGGCAGATAGTATCAAAGGCAAACCAGAGATTGAGAAATCGTGTCAAAAATCATGCCAAACATGGTGGGAGGTCAGCCAGAGATCAACACCTGAGGACAGCAGAGAAGCAGGAAGAAAAACCAGAGAGCTCCAAACTCTCTTGTGAGAGAGTTCGTGTCAGTTTGTCCTTCTCCTGAAGGACAGTTTTAGAGGGCCTTGCCTCTCTCACCATAGAAAGCAATCTCTTGCTCAAGGTTCAGGTCTGACAAGAGTACAAGGCATGGCTGTCAGAATTTGAGTGGGCAGGTATATGTGGATATAGCAACCAGCCAGTCAGGTGCTCACTCCCCACCCTCAATATCCAGGACAGGAGACCATCACCACTAGCAAAGCTGAAACAAAAGGAGTGCAAATTAGTTGTGTTCCTAGACTCCGGCCCGTCGGAGACCCAGGTGTGAATTTTTTATTTTCATTTTTATCTCAATCACCAGCTTAGATTCATTAGATGTCAAATACAGGATGCACTCTATTTTTTACTATATATCCAATATGGGAGAAATTCTGATGTTACTGAACAGAGGCTCCAAACAAACTCTATTATTCTGGATACTATTTACCTTCAGTCTCCCCTGATGTCTTATCAGAATTGACTCTCATTTTCCAGTTAAAATTTCTCTTGAAAGGTGGTGTCTACCACTCCTGTGTCCCCCACCCCCCTAGCCATTACCAACCAACCAAGTGCCCTAAAGTCAGTTTTAATTCCTGGCAACCCCATATGCACCAGAGAACTGTGCTCCATTGGGTTTTCAATGGCTGGAGCTTAGGAAGTAGGATCAACAGACTCTTCTGTGAAGCCTCTAGACTCAAACCACCAACCTTTAAGTTAGTAGTCAAGCATGTTAACTATTTGTGGCACCCATGTATTCCTAATTGTTAAGAGTTCTCTCTAATATTTAACATCAATCCCTCTAACTGCCATTTCAGCTTTGTGGTTACAAAAGCACTCCTTAAAATCTCTTCATGTAATCCCAACATTTTCAGTGAAACCTGGTTCTTCTCACTGCATTCTTCTATTTTTATTCTCTTTCGATCTAAGCCCTCTTTAGGATTTATGTCCCTAAAGTCTGAGAAGCACCTACACTCCTTGAGAACAAGGTAAAGAGAGAAACGGGAATCCAAAGGCTTAAGCAATATAAAATAAAAATTAAAAAAGATGGGAGTTTTGGGTTCAGCTTCTATAAAGTCAACCACAAACAGGTGCTCTGATCCTGAAAATGGGCAGGGGCAGGTGACTAGGACATTGTGATCTCCCCATAGGATTACTGTACAGAAGAACCATAAGAAATAATGAGTGGGGAAACCCAAGAAGGGAACTAGGACCTAAGTTCCTCCATGTCAACCACAGGGAGGCACTGTGTCCTCGTGGGCTACACTAGAGTACGCAGGATCAACAAAGCAGGGAGGACAGTCAGGGACAGCAAGCCCCTTCACCCTGCACTCTCTGACACCTGGATTTCTTCCTCAGACATTTTCAGGAGAGACACACAGTCCACTCACCATCCGTCTTACACACACCCACATGGCAAAGGTACATAACATTCATGGGTATACACACATGTGCATTTTGCTCCCATTTCTGAAGATCACACAGTTATTACTATCCATGTAGACACATGTACAGAAAAGACCTATCTTCCCTCCATAATGTACAGTGGAAACCACTGCCTGTAAAGATTGTCATTCTTTGCTTTTTCCTCATGTTTTTTGTTTGCTTGTTTGTTTCTAGGAGGTAAATGACCCCAGTGATTGCAATTAGACCTTGCTTTCTTAGCTGCCTGTCTTGTGAGTGGCCACTCTGGTTTCGGTAACTGCCAGTAGTTGTTAGTCACCCATCATCCCCATCTCCCTCCCTTATAACCCTAGCCTACTACATTTAAAATAGACTTGGCCCTATGGGAGAACGTGGTGAACTACGCAAGACTCAAGGATGTACTTCATGCCCCACTTCTGTGCCAATCAGTGTGTCAGCGCCAGACATCAAGCTGCATTAGTCCTCAGCTCAATTTGACTGGCGAAAGGGTATAATTGTCTGTGGGGTTTCAGTAATGACCTAAGAAATATTCGACCCACGATACCCCTGCCAATGATTCTATAAAGTGCCTTCTCAGTTTTACTTTTGTACCTCGGGAGTCCTAGACTCAGCCTGTAACAGCTGCAAAATTCCTGAAATCTTGATGATAATTGTTCAGATCTGTTGAAAAGTTTCTCAGAAAACCACATAGTCTAATTAGCTACCAGTCTTGAAACTCATGGGGGAGCAGGAATTCCCAAGAGGAAATCCATTTTGCCGTGACCCTCCTGCATCCTCAGAATGGATGAACTCTCCAATCCTACATGAGCCCTGGTCTGTGAGTTATGCTGAACCATCTAAAAGGATTGTCAATGACCCCTAGGAAGGATACTGCAAGAAAAGGGGCACCCTAGTCAATTTCCCATATTTCCTTTTCTAAGATCATGATGTTAAATCCTGTGGCATTTCTTAATGATCTATAACTAATAAAGAAGTTATCTAAGTGGTCCCTCTCTCCCAAACTTGAAAGCATTGTCTATGAGGCCCACAAACAATACGTTCTATTGGAACAGGGACAGTGATAGGTGGCCACATTTTATGAAGTGTCTATGCTACATCAGCCTCTCTTATGGCTTATGACACTTTGAGAATAGAATGGGAAAACTGAGCAGAGCAGACAGGGAAATGGGGCATGATGCAGGCAGACCCAGACAGAGTAATAATGGTGCTCAAATTCCTCTACAGTTTATTGTTACAGCAGGAGTTGTGGGAGACAGGAGGGCATCCTCCACACAAATCAGTGTGGCCAGAGCCCTTGGCAGCCACTCCCACCCCTATGCCAAGCTCAAAAAAAGCCTGACCCACTCTAGCTCCCTCCCACATCCCACACTAGATAGATACACACTGGCAGCTACTAAAGTTAGTGCAGCCAAATGGCCCCAGGCTCCTTCCAATTACCCTACCTCCAGTCTTTCCCCATTCTCCTTCTTTACCCACAACCTCATTTTCCAACTTACTTTTCATACACTGGATGTTCCTATCACATCCTGAGGGCCACTAACCCACCAGCGAACTTCTCCATGACAAACATTCATTCAGGCCCAAACCTTTCAGAAGGCTAAAGGGTTAATGAGAAGCCATATCAGCTTTGGTGACTAGAGCCCCAGACCCAACTCCCCAACTCCCTGCAAGTTCAGGAAAAGTAGAGAGTGTCTAATGGAGGCACAATGGACAAATACCACAGCCTCTTCCCCTCATCTTAGGACACCTATAACAGGGATAGGGGATGCACACCCTCTCCATCTTACAGCAGACTCAGGGGGAGGGTAATTTAGGTGCCTGGGTCCATATGAGATATTAGTGCATCTCTCCCAGGAGCTGGGGGGGGAAAATCACAGGTTAGAGGTCAAGGTTAGGGTAGCAATCAAAAATCAAGGTTGTTTCCCCACATGATCTGCCCATCTTCCCTTGCTCACTCCAGCCCAGTGCCCTTATGCACCTCCAAGGTTAGTTCTGAGGGAGATGAGGGCTGGGTCTCACACTGGGGCAGCAAGGGTCATTCAACAGGAAACCTCCATGGTGTGCCCCGGGGGCCCTGATGGGAGCGTTCCAGACTCGCTGCTCTGGGACAGGGTGCGAGAACGAGAGCGATTGCCATCAATGGATGCGGCGCTGGTCAGGGAGGCAGTGCGAGACCGGGAAAGACGTGTCATGCAGGAAGAGGCCACTGTAGAGAAAGGATAATCAGGCAGTCAGAGAAGAGGTGGGGGAAAAAGCTGGCCACTCAGAGTAAGGTGCTTAGGTGACAATGAAAATGGCAATTAGGGCCAAGGGAGGCAATGGCTTGGCAAATGATGGGGAGACCTGGTGGGAACTACAGAATTGGGCCAAGTCTAAAATGGTCCAACCCCACTGTTCCCAGCCCTCCCTTTCTGCAGCTCCTCTACAGCAATCCTCTGTTCTCAGGATGACCTCTGGCCCCCATACTCACTGTAGCCCATGCCTTGGAGGAAGTATTTGAAGGCCTCAGTCAGCTTCCCTGGCTGTGGAAATACGATGAGAAGGAGTCAGTGGGATGAAATTAGAAGCAGAGCTGGAGCCCAAGGGCACTGGGTGTGACACAAAGGGACAAAGGGCAGATACTCTATCCTACCTCCCTCTTCCACGGATACTCACCTGAGTCAACTGGGGCTGACCTCCGGAGTCAGCCATCTGTTTCCAAGAGAGGTACCCAGAAAGAATGGCACACAGACAGACTTATGAGTCATGCACAGGAGTCGAAGGGTCTTTCTTGCCTAGTTTCCTCACCCCCGCCCACAGGTTTTGCTTGGGCTTTCCCTTCGTTCACCCCTCTTGCTCCCACACTGGGCCCTGGAAGCCTAAAGACTAAAATAAATCTAGAAAAGCTATAATGCTAAAGTCCCAGAGTAGGAGTCAAGGTAGGCACAAAGTAAGATTACTGACCTTGAGGAAAGAGGTCTGAGTGGGGTCCAGCTTTGAGTTACATTCCACCTAGGGCAAGTAGGAAACCGCATGAATGAGGTCAAGTTCCCAGTGCCTCCTCTGAACCCAGAGACCCAGATTCCAGTCCCTCTCCTATCAGCATCCTACCCAGTCCCTGGTCCCTCACCACAACTACCAGGCATCAAACTCTTAATTCCCCAGTTATTCTTCCTGTCCCAAATAGCATTCACTCCTTGGCGAGATACTCCTCTAGCCACAATGCCAACCCTCCTTCACCAACCCCACACTTTCCTACTGACCACTGCATCTTCATGAGGTGCTTGGTCTCCTACCACCAGCATCACTGGGCACCTGGGGAAACAGTGTCAGGGAGGAAGTGGTGAGCACCTGGCTTTCTCTACCTACCTCTTCTCAGAAAAACAACTGGAAAAATGTTTAGGTCCAAATAAGAAATCATCTTCTGAACCCTCCTGACCCCATAAACAAAGTTTAAAACAGGGAGACCTAGGTAGGAATGGTGATATACTAAAGAGGGTGAGATGGGAGATGACAAGGAAATTTCCTGTCAAAAGACTGTCCTTTTTCTAAAGTATAAACACCTAGGGATACCCAGGGTATGAGATACAGGAGGTTTTGTTTGTTTGGAGGTATTTTTACAGAATGGTGTGTGTTTTTAAACTGATTCAAGTAAAAGCTTAACATCACACTAGTGTTTCATTCAATTTTTCATACTCATTTTGTTTCAAAACATTAATTAAAGTGCTTGAACAACCAACCCCTTATCCATCCTTTATCCAACCTTTCCCTCATCCATCTGAATCTATTATCTGTTCAGAGCCTTAGTGGCTAACCAAAATGCCACACATCTCCAGGAGTTCAACCCCACCAGTGGCTCCACAGGAGAAAGATGGGCAGTCAACACCTGTTGAGATTGACAGTTCCGGATAACAATGGAGGGTCACTCAAAACCAACATAATGGCAATGAGTTCAAACTTTCTTTGAGTTGATGATCTTATTTATTCATTTACTCCCCTCTCCCTCTCTTCTCATTCTTGGTAACCACTGCAGCATAGTTTTATCTCTTAAAGTCTTACTTGAGGGTTATATCACCTCCACGCTCAAAGTTCAGGTCTCGGCGGCTAGAAAGACATTAAAATAAAATTAGGAATTTTAGGCAGGCCATCAAGATGTAAGATATTCTCCTCTAAGAATCTCTCTTCTTTCCAAAAACAGTGGTTCAATATTGGTGATTAAAAGTGGAGACTTAAAGGGAAGCTGGCAGACAGATCCTAACTAAGCATGACCCCTGAAGTCAATTCTTATGGCCTAGATCCTGATCAGAGGGCAACAAAGGGCATGGGAGAGCACAAAGACAGAAGGTCATCTTACTTCTGGGAATTCAACATTCCAAAGGAAGTAAACAGGAGAAAGGGAACTGTTCCTCACACTCTTCCCATTGGGTCTAACCCTGTAGCTACCCAAGTTGCACAGCAAATCCTGCCTCCCTTGCACTTGACCTACTTTGCAGGCCCTCCTCCCCTAGGCCTCGCTCTGGTGCTCAGTTACTGCTTCTTCTTTGTTCTCACACTCATACACACACTCTGCCCACTCACTTGTTGTAGCTATTCCAATACAGTTCAATGTTCTCCAGGTTGGGTGCATGCACAACAATATTTCTATACTTTTGTACCAACTCAGAATTTCCAGACAGCTCTTCCTAAAGCAGAGAAAAGGGGTGAGAAGATTATAGATACTAGATAAGAAGAATCCAGCCTTCTTTCTTCTTCAGATCCTGTCCCATCTAGGGCAGTCCCCTCAAGCATTCAAATCGCTGCTGGTCCCCCTCTGCTAACTCCAACATTCACAACTACTTACCTGGCTAAAGAGATGTCCAAGGATCATCTCCGGAATGGAAGAGGTGAGGCCAGTTAACTATGAGTAAAGGGCAGGTAAGACATGACATAATGCATTATGGGGAAAGGCGATTCAGGCAGAGCCACCAGCCCCATCTTGTTGAGTCCATTAAGACAGCTTCATCTTCTTCCCGCCCCCACCCCCCATCTCCTTAACACTCAGCAATTAGTCATGCTAATGGAACTTAAGTGGACTCAGGCAGGCAAATTCCCACCCTCAATTTCAGCACATAGCTCCCTCCAAACCTTGTGGGCTGCCCAGTCCATCCAACCCTTGGCATTGGGATCAATGTTGATGAGGACAAGACCTTCAACTGTGTCTGGGTGTGTAAGCTGAGGGCACAAGGAAGGAAAATCAGAGACAGAACATACCCTGATTCCCTTCCTCACTGAGTTCTACCCACTCTTGGACAACACTAAGATGTGCCCCTCCTTCCATTTCTCTCACTCCCCCTCCTGAAACACACACTAGTAAACAACATTCTCTTCCATCAATCCATCAGGGGCCCTGAACCCTTGTTTCCCATTTCCAGGAATTTTCATTTCTTACAGCATATCGAGATAAGATGTAGGCTCCAGCTCCAACACCAACTCCAATTATGGTAGAAAAACTGTGAGAGAGAGAGAGAGAGATATGTCTAATGAGCTCTGGTGCCTAAGACCTGCTAGAGTCCACAGTCTCACCAAACTCCTCACCCTCCTTCCCAAGGCCATGGACACAAAGAAAAATAGAAAGTGACCTTCCTTTGGGGCATGCTAAAAAAAGAAAGGTACAAAGGGGCCACCGATAGGCATTGGTAATCAGTACAGATCCCTCACATCTATCCCCAGCTCCTTCTTTTAGAGCTAGTGTACTGACTAGACACATCCCCTCAGCCAAGGCATGCTATTTTCAAATATAGGCCTTTGCCATGCTTGATTTTCCAGAGCTAGTTTAACTTGTTCTGTTTTCGTTCTTAGTTCCTCTAGAGGAATGAGAGGAAAGAGGAATTCACACAGTTTTAGTGAACAACAGGGGAAACTGGGGAAAGAATCAAGAGCTGCATCAAGCTATCTCCCTTGCTGGCAAGTCGGAACCAACTCACAGCTGACCCTCCAGTAGGTTTTCTGAGGCTATAAATTGCACAGAAGGAGATTCCTCATCTTTCTCTTGTGGAGCCACGGGTAGATTTGAACCAGCAGAGGCACACCTTTGGGTTAGCAGTGCAACTCCTTACAGATTAGGCCAGCAAAGCTCTCTGCACTAGGCTATGTTGTTGTTATGTGTTAAGTCAGAACTGACTCATAGCTGACTTTCCATCAGGTTTTCAGAGGCAGCAAATCACACAGGAGACTGGCCATCTTACTCCTGTGGAGTGGCTGATGGATTTGAACTGCATGCCTCTGGGATGGCAGCACAACTCCTTCCATTAGGTTACTGTCCCTGAGAAAAACCAGGCCAAGAGCAGAACCCAGGACTCACTAGCACTCAGCATATCAAGAAGCCTCCTGTGAGTTTCTCTTCCTTCTCCCACTCTCTCACTCACACAGGGCTTCCAGTTCCCCAGGTGTGTGTAGTGAGGATGAGGGTAGGGGTGGGTGAGACAAGTCAATCTGGTTTCTCAGGGACTATGTCACCCACTCCCTCCACTTGCTCCCTAGCTTCCTGATCAAAGAAGCCCTCCTCAGTCTGAAGTAAGATCAAGTATTAAGGCTACTCTGCGAATTCAACCCAAACTACTCCCCTTCCTATCAAAAACCAAAGTTGGGAGCATCAAGGAGGAAGACGAGAGACCAAAATCTAGCCCAGGAACTATGGTGGGCACAACAGAAGTTTGAAGGATCTTCTTGTGTTGGAAAGGGAACTCTGTTTGAAGGGGTCCCAGGCCTCTCACTTTAAGTACTGCAAGATGCAAGGGATCATGTCTGCAAGCTGGTCCAGAGATGGGTACTGATATCTGGGGGAGATGAAAATGTTAAGAAAGATGTCAACCTGTCCCCACTACCCCCACCTCTAAAAGCTCTACTCATTCTGTCCCCAAATTACCACTGCCCTCCCTGCTAACCTCCTGTCCTGGCTTAACCTTGTCCACAGCAGCCCTGTGCCCAAGAGCCAAGGACTTAATTCCTACCCTAAAGGGAACACTGGAGCTCCCTCTTCCATTCCAGGGGCATCTACATGAACCCGCACGAAGTTCTGGATGATCTCCTGCATATCCCCAAATTGAAACAGTGGCTGGAAGCAGCTCTTATCTAAAGAGAACCCACAACAGTCAAATCGGTGTTCTCCAGATTAGTGCTCACTTTCTTTGTTCCATCAGACTAGCAGAGAGCTTCGTCTTGCTAAGTTATATGGCTACCAGCTTGCCCACACTGACCCCCTCCCCCTCAAAGTGGATTTTACCCTTCCCCCAAGACTCTTCCAAGAAAAGAATTCGAGGGGGAGTGAAGATTCTTACAGTTGAGTCCCACATCGTGGTAGGTGAGTATCGCTGGACGTTTCGGTTTGGGGGTGCCATAAACAGTAAAAGTGACAGAGCCATAAGGTGTTTCCACTGAGTGAGTCTGTAGAAAAACAGGTTACCATCAGGTAGGAGTTAAGATGAAAGGGGAGAAGATAGAGAAAGGACTACACAAAACTCAGAGTTGGAAGGGAGGAAGAAAAGGAAACAATTAAAAACAAGATCATCAAGAATATGACCATGGAAAATATGAGTGTCAGGGTGAAGAACTAACTATAATAAAAGTGTAGGACATTAAAGAGCTCTAAGAAAGGAAAAGGAATGAGAAGGGATGGGTGGGAGAAGGAAAGAACTGGAATAGAAGGAAATGAAGAAAAGGGGTCAGGCAGGGGCCCCTCTCAAATAAAGGTGAGGAAAGCCCCTCCTCCCGCCCCAGGAGGACCCTGAACAGTTACCTGTCCCTGGTCCAGGAGGATTCGAGCCGCTAACTCAGCCTCCTGGAGAGACACACACAGACAGACACACACAGAAACACACAACGGATAATAACAGATGGAGAGACAGACACACATAAGGAGAGACCAACAGAGACCAAAAACAGAAAGAGATTGACAAAAAGAGACATGGAGAGGATGAAGGTTAGTGCAGTGACAAGACAAGGCTGGATTCCCAATCACAGAGGACCGGGAGAGAGCTGATGGCAGAGGTGGAGAGTGCCAGTGTGGGTTAGAATGAGGTCAGTGGATGCTGGAAGGCAGGAGGTAAAAAAGATCCTTGGTGGTCTGGAATTATGAATAGGGGAGGTCAAAGGGTCTTCACGAACCTTGGCTGCCTCGGGTGTCTGTCCTGGCAACAAGGGCTTCTCCTCTGTAATCTGCACCTCCTGCAGCTCTGCCATGGTGGCCTGGCAAGTGGAGGAAAGAAGACTTTGGGAAGCTGTCTCCACCCCCACCACCCTAAGAACGCCTAGCTCTGTTTCAGCACAATGCAGGGTGCAGAGAGACCCAGAAGGCAAGCACACACAACCTCTCTTCTCCTGGCTCCACTTCCAGGCCCAGTGGAAGGGCCAATTGTGGAAAAGGAGTCACTCCTTTTCTCCAGAACAGCCACCCCAATGCTGCCCCTTCAACACCCCCATCCTGGATGGAAATATCAGCATGGGACCACAATGCAACTCAGGTTTCCCAGGCTATATTTAGGGACCACCCCATATTCTTAGTTAGATAGGCAGTAAAATTCATGGCTCAGGACTGAGTGATCCAAAGATACCCCAGAGGCAGGGTAGAAAGCATTTAAAGTTGACTGTCACCTTCAGCTAACCGCCCAAGGTCAGCAGCTCAAAGGAGAAGGAGCCAAAAATGACCAAAATAACATGGCCAAGGGTGGTAGGCATCTCTGTTCCACCTACCTAATGCCTCCCTTCCTCCCTAGGTTCTTCTTTCTGACTGTGAATAAATTAACAGATATCGCACATTAGTGGGCCGGTAAGGGACAGAGAACTTGGGGAGACCCACAGAGGCAAGAACCTGCGGCCCAGAGGGTGGGGGTCACTTACTAGACTCCTGTTGGTAGGCGCAGTAGGGTTAGAGGTCAGAGTTCTCCTTTCGGCTCTAGGGTCTGTGAAAACACAGCAATGAGGTGAATGACACGGTAACCAGAGCCCAAGCCTTTTAGGGACAGAGAGAGTCAGTCCAGACTCACTCTCCAGGTCACTAACCCCCGCAACTTTGGCTGTCTCGGAGTCCAGAGAAGACTAGTCTCCAAGCTTTAATGACAATCAATACAGACTAGAGGGGGCCGATAGGCTGAGAGCAGGTATCAGTCCAGCTTGGGGGTGGAGAGAAGGAAGTGCTGATGTGGAGGAAAAAGCATGGCCAGTGTCAGAAGCCCTGGATTTTAGTCCAAGTTTCTGCTGCTACCAGTGTGACCTTGGCACAGGCCGTAATGTCTCTTGCCTCAGTTTCCTCTCTGCAAACTGGGAGGGACGGGATCATCAAGATTTTTGACAGTTCTTGAGTGAGATTAGGAAGCAGGGCATGACGTTTCACCACCACCATTTAGTAACAAAACAAAAACAAAGTCTCGTGTCTTCGCTTCCCTTCTCCACCCAGTCTACTCTCTCCGTAGGCTCAGCCAAGTGGAGAAACAAGGGCGGGGAGAGGGAAAACAGTTCCTCCCAACCTCCCCCGACGGCTCGAGGGGGGCCGGGAGCCAACAGGGAAGGGTTGGGTGGGATGGATGGAATCAGCCGGGCCCGGCGAGTCTGGACACGCTGCCTGTCCGCGTCGGGAGAGAGCGACAGCCCCGCGCGCCTAGCGCAAAGCACCCCGGACGCTCCAGCAACCTCGCACCCGCTCTAAACACGCTCCGCCGTAGCCGAGCCTCCGCCTTTGTGCGCGGCAGCCGAGCGCCCGCGCCCCGCTGGCCCCGGAGCCGCTCCGGGAGACCAGGATCCACAGGATCCGGACGCTCTGGGTACGTGGGTGCCGCGCAGGCCCCAGGCCCTCTGCCCCTCCCCCTACCTGCTGCCGCCGCGGCCGCTTCCACCTTCACTTGCCTTTGACTCTGTGGCCCGCCCCAGCTCGGGCTCCCCGCAGACCCGCCCCCGCCCCGCCCTGGCCTACCCACGGGTCCTTGGCTCCTGCCAGACCCGCCCCGACCCCTGTAAACACGCCCCCCTCCACCCGGCCCGGGAGGCCCGCTGCTCTAGGAGGGGTGGGAAGGCACTCCAAGCAAAGCAAGCTGCTGGATGCTACCAGGCTCAACTCGGGTTCCTCACATCCCCTTCGGTGGGGCAGGATGTGAGGGGACCACTCAGCCCTGGGGATACTTCCCTGACTCTCAACACAACTTGCCAACCATGACCTGTATCAAGCTGTTGCACTATCACCTCTCACCGAGGCCCCCCCATCACCAGACTCAAGGGTAGTGGGCGGAGAGGTGGGGACACTCACAGGATGTGCTAACATCCCACTAATTTTGACTCTGCTGGTCCAGAAAACAGAAATAGATTAAGAAAAGAGGAGGTGGGCGCATGCCACTGCTGAGGAAAGAGGGTCTCGCCCATGGGGAGGGACCAGTGTGCTAACAGCAGATACAGGGGCGCCAAAGACGCGAGAACTCCACCTCGGGGTGCCCAAGGTCCTGGTACCTTCTCTCTGCTGAGTTCCGAAGCCTGCTTTTCCGCTGTTCCTGACGAAGTTGGAAAACAAGGCGGGGTGGAGGGGGGGCAGGGAACGCGGGAGTGGGGGTGGTCGCTATAAATAGAGGGAGATCACAGGCAAGGAGGAGGGAAAGAGGGTGGACAACGGGGACTCCCGGTCAAGGCTCCCAGTGGGGGCGGAGAAGAGACCAGGACCCCCAAGGATAAACAGACTCCAGGATAAACAGGAGCAGGGGCGGGGTTAGCCAGAGGGAAGGGGGTAATTGGGGAGGACGCAGTGTCCCGGGCTCGAACCCAAGAGACCCTGCGGCTTTGGCTCTAACCCTTCCCTGAGAACGAGGGCGAGACCTGCTTGGCCAGGCTGAATGGCAGTGCCCAGGCAATGGAGTCTCGGGGACTACTATGCTTCTGTAGTTTGCGATCCCATTCTCGTCACCTGCCCTGTGCCCCTCAGAGGAAGGCCCCTGAAATGAGGTGGTTCATATGGCTAAGGGTTTTCAAAATTGTCTTGGGCAAAAGGAAGCCAGATTGAGTTTCTCCCTACTTACCCCTGTCTAGCGCCGCCCCGCCCCAACAAACAGGATCCCAGCCCCCAATTCCCCTTCAGCTTGGTTCCTAAGTTGCCATTTCGGGGGCTGGGCACCTGGCCAGTTGGAAACAATGGCCAATGGAACTAGAGCTGCCAACTGCAACGCCTGCACAGACTGCCCCCCCAAGACCCCCAAATTGCCCTTTCCCCCCTGCCTGGGAACCACCACCGGCAACCCTCCCCCATCCAAGGAATATCAATGCCCCTTTCATCCCCACTTGGCAGGGTCTGTTGGAAAGGAGGAGGGGCCAAATGGGAGGAGGTAACCCAGAGTAGAACTGGTCAGATCAAACTCTACCTAAAACTATTCCAAGTCGAAAAGGTCTCCTACACCCGGTGTTTGGAGCACTCAAGTATTCCTCTATTATAGTTTCTCCCCACTCTTTCCATAAGTATTTCCCTAGAATTTGGCAAGATGCCCTTACCTACCTCCCTCTCTCTTCTGAATCCCAGCTTAACACTCTCCTGGACAATGGAAAGTCTACTAGAACTGGGAACAGACTAAAAGATGCCTAGACAAAGAAGAAGATTTTACAGCTTTAGAGGAACTGGGAAAGAAAGAGAACATAGACTTTTGCCTGCAGCCTTCTCTGACGTGTCCAAAGCAGTCTTACTTGGAATGGAGGAGGAAGGGGGGGAGGGAGACCTAGAGGTTCCAGCATCTAAATTAGTCCCTGGGTCAGGATGACTCAGGGGGAACCTGATAAGGGGCCTACGCAGGGGCCTGGGGCAGGGAGGAGGTGGGGAATTTCCACCGGGATCAGTTTTGTGTCCTAGACCTAGGGGGTCCCAGCCTACTACACGTGGAGTCAAGGCTGGTTCTGCTGTAAGATAGGATTCATCCTTGTCAGGAGAGTTCCTAACCCAAGCATAAGTGATCCAATTTCCCTTGGGTCACAAGCAGAGTCAAAGTTCAACTAAGTGCATTTTTACATACTTGCTATTGTTCAAGTTGATGTGTAGGTGATATGAAGAATTTGAACAAGTGTGAAGGATATGAACTTAATCATATCCTCTCTGTTGAGAGAAAGTGTAAAAACAGAAAATGGGGAGGTGGGCCCTGTGGCAGTTCAAATTTACCAGCTGCTCTTTTGAAAAAAGATGAGAAATCTTCTCCCATGCAATTTACATATATATGTATTACTATGTAATAGTATTATCTAATACATACTTTGGGCATGTTGCAAGGAGGGACTGGTCCTTGGAGAGGGACATCATGATTGGGAAAGTGGAGGGACGATGCAGAAGAGGAAGACTCTCGATGAGATGGATCGATTCTGTGATTGGGGTGGTGGGAATGAGTGTGTTGGAGATGGCATGGTTGGCACAGGTTAGAACAGCGTTTAGGGTTCTTGTACATAGGGTCACTATGAGTCGCAAGCAACTCGATGGCACATAACAACAACAACAACAACAACAACAACAACAACAACAACAACAATATATAATAGATAGGGGGAAACCAAGTTTCTCCTTGGAGGCTAGGATTTTGAAGCTGTTTCACAAGCTTTGGGCCCATGGTCAGGTGGGACCTGTCTTTGGAGTAAGGCATCATGTTCAGAAAAGTGGAGTGACAGAGCAGGAGAGAAAGACACCAGATGAGATGGATTGGATTAATATAGTGACTGGGGCTATGGGGCTTAGTGTATTGGAATCAATGAAACTGGCTCAGAACAGGGCTAGCTTCAGAGCTGCTGTACCTATAGGTACCTATAGGTGATAGGTGACTCATCGGCACATAGCAACAACAACAACAGTGTGTGTGTGTGTGTGTGTGTGTGTGTGCGTGTGCAGAGAAAGAAGCTGTGCTGTAATTCCAAAGGCAAACTGTTCAAATTCACCAGCTGCTCCGTAAAAGAAGGATGCAAGATCCCCCATGCTTTTCGCTGTCTTTGAAAACTCAGTTCTGACTTGATGGTGTGTAACAAGGACAATATATATAACACACACGTATGTATGTTGTTAGGCGTCATTGAGTCAAATGTGACTCATGGTGACCCATGAACAACAGATCTAAACCTTGACCTATTCTGTGATATTCTTACAATCTCTGACAGACTCGAGCCTATTGCTGCCATCACTGTCATTCCACGTGGTTGAGGGTCTTCCTCTCTTTCACTGATCCTATACCTTTCCAAGCTTGATGTCACTCTCTAATGAATAGCTTTTCTCAGCAACATTGCCCAAAGTATGTGAGATGAGGCTGTATCACCTTTCCCTTCAATAGATACTCTGGCTGCACTTTCTCCAAGGCATATTTGTTTGTTCTTTTGGCAGTCCAGGAGGTATTCAGTACTCTCTCCAACACCACTGCTCAAAGGTTGTAATTCTTCTGTTGTTATCCTTATTCATTGCCCAGCTCTCAGACTGTATTGAAAGTGGTTGAAAAAACCGTGGCCTAAATCAGGCACACCTTACTCCTCAAAATGGTACATTGCTCCTTAGTAATTTGGAAAGGTCCCTGACATCAGACTTTCCCAGTACAATATGTCTCCTGATCTCCTGACCATTGGTACCAAGTGGATCCAAGTAAGATTAATTTTTTCTCCATTTATCATGATGTTGCCTATCAGTGAGAAATTTTGTTTTGTTGACACTGAGATGCAATCCATATTGAGGGCTGTATTATTTGATCTTGTGCAGTAAGTATTTAATATACAAATATATATATGTATATTTGTTGTTATTGTGTGCTATCAAGTTACAACTTGATATCAAGAAGTGACTCCAAAAAAAAAAAAGAAGTGACTACTCATAGCTGACCCTCCAGCTGGTTTTCACAGGCAGTAGACATCACATGAGAAGAGATTACCCACCATTCTCTCTGTTGAAATTGAACCTCTTATCTTTGGGCTAGCAGCATAATTCCTTATTATAAAGCCACCAAAGATAGATAGGTGATGATGGATGGATGGATGGATAGATAGATAGATAGATAGATAGATAGATAGATAGATAGATAGATAGATAGATAGACAGACAGACATCCGCTTCCTAAATAACATGCTTCCGGAAACTCTATGAACTTTGATAAATGTTGATAGTTGTAGAGGGGCTTCAGGCCATGAAAACCCACCAGAGGGTCAGTTATGGGCCGGTTCCAACTCTACAGTACACAACAACAATATATAAACCCTAGTGGTGTAGTAGGTAGGGTGTTATGCTGCTCACTGAAAAACTGAGTCTCCACCAGTTCAAATTCAGCAGGCACTGTGAGAGAAAGACAGGCACTCTCCACCAGTTTTTAGGTGCAGAAATCTGATAGACAATTGCTATAAATCTACTTGAAAGTGAGTCAGTGGAGAAATAGGTATAATATAGCAATATACATTTGCATGATGAAGATGGCATAGGATAGGGCAAAGTTCAAATCCATTTTTCATGGGGTTTCTATGAGTCATAGAAAGTTGGAAAAAAAGAAGATCAAAGAAGAATCAATGCCTTTGAGTTCTGATGTACTGAATATTCTAGGTATCGCCAAAAGAATAAGTTGGTAATGGAGAAATTGCAGCCAGGGTGCTCCTTAGAGGCAAAGATAGTGAAACTTGATCTCATGTACTTTTGGCATGTTGTTAGGTGGGGCCAGTCCTTAGAAAAAGCTATTCTACTGAGAAAGGTAAAGGGTCAGTCAGTGAAAAGAGAGGACAACTCAACAAGAGGGATTGACGAAGCGACTATCCCAACAGTTTCAAGCACATCAGATGTTGATAATGGTGTAGAATAGGGCAAGGTTCACATCTGTTGTTTATAGGGTTGTTAAGAGTTATAGTCAACTGAAGGGCACCTAAGAACAACCAGCATAGCAACCTTCTGTATAACATAATCATGCACAGTCTTGCATCATTCTTGTAATCACTGCTAAATTTGAGCCCAGCGTTGCATCCACTGTGTCAGTCCTCCTTCTGGAGGGTATTCCTCTTTTTTGATCACACTTTGCTTTAACAAGCGTGATGTCCTTCCCCAGGAACTGGTTTAGTACCCTTGAAGTGCATCTAACTATAGGATCTCTGGCCTGAGAAAAGGTAAAGAAAGAAATACCTAAGGAAAGTCTTTGAAGTGCAGATACTCCTGTCTGGAAGAATTTCGGTCTGAGACGTATCCTGACCTCTCTTTCACCCTCACATACCCAGATCTCTTAACTTCCCAAGGTCCATGCTCTACCAGGTAGTAGGGAAAGCTTTCATTGCTCTTGGAGTGTACGAATCTGCGTGGACATTTGAATCCTTGTTGTTGTTGTTGTTATCTGCCATCAAGTGGCCCATGACTCATAGCAACCCTATACATAATAGCTAAGAACCCTGCCCTACCGTCAACCAACCTCACTGTCTCCAACACACCTATCCCCATTATCCCAGTTACTGTCAACCCATCTCATTCAGTGTCTTCCTCTCCTGCTCTGTCCCTCCACTCTTCCAAGCATGGTATCTTTCTCCAAGGACTGGCCTCTCCTGGAAACATGCCCAAAGTATGTGAGACAGAGCTTCA